TTGTTTCTATAAATTAAATTAATTTAATTCCAATTTTTTTATAAATTTCAATAATTTTATAATGAACTATTCAATCCAGGCTAAGTTCTAGTCAATTCCTTGAATTGTCGCCCAGCCCAGCGCAACAAATTTTCGATACTGCCTTTTGCCTTATCATTACATCTTAAAACCTATAAATAAACACTTTTCAACAAGTTGATTGAAAGAACAATAAGATTATAAATCACTTCAATTCCTACATCTAATCCATCTTAAGCTCTGATGATAAAGCGCTCATTGTAAATCACATAGAACAGCCCACAAAGAGAAGAAGAAGAAAACCCTTGCCCAATCAAGAATCAGGAAACTTGGTTAGGTCATGGTGATTCGCCAACAGAAAAAGAAAGACTAAGAAATTATTAATATATTATTAGTCGCCTCTCCCTTCGGCCCATCTCAACTTTTGATAGACAAGATAAGTAAACGGATTTTTAATTAAAAAATGGATTTCAGTATATTTAATGAAATATATATATATATTTTTTTTTTGCCAAAAATCGGTCAGATTAGACCCTGTCGTAGTATGTCCAACAATCGATGGCTATGGCGATTTTATTATCGACTCCGGTAGCTCTTATCAGCGGACCCCAAGTGGTGAAGTGGGCGTCTATAAAAGCCAGCTGGACGTAGACCATAACGATCAGTATAAATACAATTGGCATTTGGTTCAGTTATTATACGAGAGAAAAATATGAAACTCTTTGTGGCTCTATTGGCGCTTGTTGCGTGCGCAAATGCCGCTGCTGTGGGCGACTCGATTGGTGAGTGGATAGAGACAGAGAGAGAGATAAAGAGAGAGAGAGAGAGGGAAAGACAATGAGAGCTCAGCTAATTTGGTTTCTGCATTCTCTTAGACACCAGATCAATCTCCAGCACAGTGGTTGATGTCATTGAGGGCATGAAGGAGCAGATGCCTTGTGGCTTCCCCGGCCTGGGCATCCCGCCAATTGCTCCGCTTCGCATCGATCACCAGAACATCGATATCGATACGGATGCACTGAAAATGAAGGGCAGCGTCGAGCATTTCCGTCTCAATGGCCTGAACGACTTTGATATCGAGGAGATGAAGGTGAATGCCATCGCCAGCAAAGTGAACTTCAAATTCAATTTCCGCGACGTCAATGTGGACACTATCTACGACATTGATATGCAGCTGAAGAAATATGGCTTCACCATCAAGATGATTGGCGCTGGTCATGCCAAATTCGCTATCAAGGATATGTCTATCTGGGGCAGCTTGAAATACTCTCTGGGTGTGCTCAACGGCAAGCTGAAGCTGAAGACTCTCGATGTGCGCACTCACTTGGGCTCTGTTGAGTCCGAGATCGAGGGCATGCTCGGCGATGGCACCGTTAACGAGAAGATGAACGATTATCTGGCCGAGGCCGTTGAGATGGTCATCAATGAGAACGAGGATCTGATTGCCGAGACCATTGAGAGTGTTGCTCTGCCCGCAGTGAACAGCGTTCTGGACGATGTCAGCATCACCGATATCATCAATAGCGACGGTGAGGGCGGTGAGAAGGAGGTCTGCATTCCCCCAGAGCTGGACTAGTAAACAATATGTGAAAAGCTTCGTATTTGATTAAACCCTTCTTTGTAACAAAAGAATAAATAAATACATTTACTTTCACTTCAATGGAGCTCAGAACTTTCTGTTGGTTCCGAAGTCTTTTTAAGTGTGGCAAGGAGCAAATAGATAATTGACTAATTATGATCTATAAATATTTCCTTTAGATATAGACCTTAGTATAATTTTAAGTAGTTGGTTCCCATAAAAAAATTGCTAATTATACATATATATTAACACATTCATAAATTGTTATCAATGGAAATTCGGGTATGTAAAAAGTCCTAGACCCGATTGGGGAGCCAATACAGAGGGCAGCTTTTCTCGCTGCATGCATTGTAAGACAATGCCTGATGGATAGATATAATATAGAGACTGCTAATCCGCAGTAAATAAAACGCGAAAAGTTGAGCAAATAAATCTGATTTATTGATTTGGACTGTTGTTGAGTAGAAGCTGTAACTTTTCAAAAAGCAAATCAATCGAGTCTTCAATTACTACAGTGTCCACCCCAGCCCAGTGTAAGACGGTTAGTATAGAGTTATAGAAATCATTAAAATTCTTTTTCAAAACCGAGTTGTCTATTTGTTTTTGAACGCCAGAAAGGATATCATCGACTATATCAGGTTTATTCAGATAGGCTAGGATCTGATGCCAGACACTGATAATAAATAATTGCAAATTAGGCGGAATACCAGTAGTGTAAAACATTTGTGGACTCACTCAACAAGCGATTGAATCAAATTTAAATTTGACTTTTCGTTGATATAGGGCGCCACTGGATGACCAACATATTCTGGAATGCCCTTAGGCGTCAAACTCAGCATGGACTGTGTAGCCTCAGAGGCCGATTCCAAATTCTGTTCATCAGGCTTAACGGCTGACAGGAGACAGAGTTGAAGACAGAGTCAGTTAAAAGTAAATAGTAACACTCGTAGGTAAAATTACACTTACGATTACGTTCGTTAAGTTTATTAAATTCTTCCTCGGATAATATTCCGACCGTGTAGGCCGCTGCACAAGCTAAAACGGTAACGAAACAAAATACGCCTAACTTCATGGTGCGAAAACGTTCACTGATTGGATAACGGCGTGATCCAATAGCTTTTATATCCACGATTTTCACTAAGTTGAGGGAGTAGCATTGTCGTAGCAAAACCAATACAATCAAGCCGTAGATAAAGCAGATAAATTTGCCAAAAAAAATCCCATACCCTGAATACGTTGGAACTGGCAATCAGGGTATAATGAATTTAAGAATATTTATTTAAAAGGAGGCGTGGTATATTTGTATATTTGCTCAGGCCTGAGATGGTATAGCCAAGATGGCCGTCTATCAGTCCGTCCGTCAGCTCGTCCGTAAGAACAGCTTGAATGTATGTATGAAATAATGTGAAATTATTTTAATAAATAATATTAATTACTGACAATAATTAAAAAGTTTCATTTGAAGATGTAAGAGCATTCAAAATCAAAAACGTAAGTGGATAACTGAGTTTTATCAGTGTTCTTTCGCAGCTTGGCTACATCATTAGTAAGCAGGTCTCTCGCTCAGACCATTATCCATTATCCATGCCATCGGCTCTGCTAAATATATGAGCACATATACATATGAAAGGGGATAAAAAGCAAATAAGATGATGGTCGCTATACTCAAAAGCTCTCTTTCAGCTGCAATGGCAGCTCTGCTGATAAAAACCCTTGGTCGCTACTGTAGTTCCTGCCTTTTAGTCATCTCTCTCACTCTCCACACTACCAACTAAACGGGATCAAAAGCTCAAGATAATTGAGTTATTTCATACACTCGCTTGAGTGAAAAGCTTTCTGTCAGCGCTGTAATCCCAATCAGCAACCGAGCAATTCTCACACATACATACACATATAATTGACGCCTATAATATGTCGGATAATTTGAGTCGACTGCAAGTGGGTTATAAAGCGCGTTCAGCAAATGCTTGTGCTCAGAGCAAAGATTTCTGTTAACTTTACTGCTTACATTCTTATTAGCATTTCTGCTGTTAATCTTGCATTTGAGAGTTTGCCCTTGTTATCAAGTGAAGATTTCTGTTAACTCTGAAGCCGGCATTGCTGTTAACATTGCATACTTGCTACTTTAACATTATTTTTAATTCAATATTTAACTTAATGCAAATAAAGATAACAAATTATTATACAAAAAAAAATAAATAAATAATAATCGTAGTTAAATATTAAAGTTTCATCTTAGCGTGCTTTCACTGTAAAGCTTTTCCACAGAAGTTTGTTAACGTCTTTTTAAACGGTCTCAAAGCACTTCAGGCGTCGATCTCCTTAATCTAATGCCTAATCTTAAGTTGTAGAGCTTATCAGCTCATTTCAAATATATGTATTTATATATTTTACTATTTACTTATTCGTTTAAATGTTCACATGCTAAGCAATTAGTTCTTGCGCTTTATCAATGGACATTCGAGTGGCATATAAAAACTTTCGCCAACTCGGCCGAGGTGCACAGTTAAAATCAGGTGTTGGCAGTGACAAGTTATTTAAGAATACAAAATATGAAGTCTCTATCTTTGCTGGCCATTATTTTGGCCCTGGCCGCATGTCAGGGGGCGGAGGTTGCTGAAAAATTGGCAGGTAAGTGGAAGGAAAATAATTTGATTGATTTTTCGTGCAATAAGATTAATTCTTGAAATTGAGTATAAATCGAATTTTAGTCGAAAAAGTTAAAGTGTACAATAAATTATTAATATGACATGAATTTAATAAAACTGATTTCATGTTTATATTATAAAAACTCGAGGTATTTAACATAAAGTCAAATTTCAAAAATAATTGTATGAAATTATATATTTTACTGCATTCTTTTTAGATATATTCTCTATATCCTCTGCCTCTCGCTTACTCTCTCCCTCTATCTCTCTCTCACACCTTCTGTCATACATGTTATTCTTATTCTTAGACACAATATACCCTGTTAAACCAAGTTTAATGAGTATACACCTATTAATAACGGATATGAGATTATCCATATGAAAATCAAATCATCATAAAGTCTATTACATAAATTTCCAAAAATATAACATACCCTATTCAACTATTCTGAAAGGGTATATATGGCTACAGTAGCTCAATTGAAGATGATTAAATCCATTTGCCTTTACAGCTCAATCGCGCTCTGTTGACAGCATTATTGTGGATACCCTGGAGCTGCTGAAGAAACAAATGGTCAAGGGGTGGCCAAAGTACGGCATTCCCCCCCTCGCTCCCCTACAACTTAAGCACAAGGAGTTCGATTTGAATGCCGGCGAGCTGCACGCCAAAGGCGCTTTCGATGATCTGACTGTGCACGGCCTGAACGAGTTCGAAATTAAGATAATGAACACGAATCTGTTTTTGAGCCGCCTTAAGTTCGAGTTCCACTTCGCCAGCTTAAATGTGTCGACCCAGTATAAGGCGGATGTCGGTGCCAATTATCGCATGACACGCAATGGTGGCGCCTTTATGGCCCTCGAGGATTTGAACATATCCGGCCACATCAAGTACAGCACGGGCATCGTCGGCAGCAACAACTATTTGCGCATCAAGGAGATCATTGTGAACGTTGTGACCGGCAATGTTGTGTCCAACATTGAGAATCTATCCAAATATCGTATACTCAATCGGAAAATCAACGAAGTAATCGAGGAGTTCATCAGTCTAACGGTCAATGATAATACGGAATTTTTCGCCGATTGGCTGGACAGCACGGTGACGCCCATTTGCAATGATATGATTGGCGAGCGCACAATCAAGGATATTATTGGCATTATTACGGGTTCTTAAATTCCTCAATCAATAAAATTAAATTTTAGAGAGAAACATGAAACTTTTTAATTATGGTTTAGCTAATCAAAGTCATAAAGCGATTTGCACGAGTTAAAAACATCTGTTCGAGTGCGTTAATCTAATCGCTTAGATTAGCTTTGCGTGTGGCTAAATTTGTTTTATAATTTCATAAGAGGCAACGATCAAACGGTATATATTCCTTAATAAAAACTTAAATTTAGAATGTAAAAAAAAATTGTTTATTAATTAAATAGCACATAACATATTTATTTTTATTTAATGAAGATTAGCACATATACATTTAAAAAAAAATAAATATATGTAACAAATAAAACAATAGCTTAGTATTGACAATTTCCAAAAATAAATAATTATAATAAATTGACAAGTGACATCTCCACAATCATTATTAATTGCATTTAATATGTTTGACAATCATTATTAATTGCATTTAATATGTTTGAAAATCATTATTAATTGCATTTAATATGTTTGATAGTAATTGAACTAGTTCGCACATGCATAATTTATGGCTTTCAAAATGTTTTATAATGACAAAGACAAGCAGATGGTAAATAAATAAATTGAATTCAATTTCATGAAATGCCCAAAAGTAGGCAATGATAATGTCAATTGTGGCATTCGCAGGGAAATTTAGGAATTTTAGTTACAGCGCAAAAGTATGCAACACTTTTGAACAAGCAACTACATTCAACTGCATTATGCAATTCAAAGCTAAATTATCTAACATTTGGCGTTATTAAATAACTTAATTAATTATTAATTTATTATTCATTTTTATACTACACCATATTTATACATATCTCTCTCAGTTCATAAACAATAGTTTGGAATAGCCGCAGCTAAGAGCCTTTAACAGGATGTACAAAAATTTCCCTTTAAAAATCATTGCCTATTTTCAGGCTGCGCGTTTTAAACCTATTTCATTTCCATAGTTCCATTTCATTGTACAGATTCAGCGCTTAAAATATATATACAAAAAAAAAAAAAAAGAATACGGCCCAATCAGCACTATTTTTGGCATACTAGTTGAGCACCGCCTTATCAATCGACTGAGACAGACCAAGCGAGGGCAGTGACTTAACCTTGACAGATCTCAGGGCAATAATAACAAGAATCAAAGAAACGTGCTCAACTTAACATTCAATTTGTTAATAATTTTGATATGGCTGCGACGCAGTTTCTATTATAAATTAATGTTT